ACCAGCCCAATAAACTGACCGCAGTGTTTGACATGCTGTTGTACATGCTGTTAAAATCTTCAGGTTCCAGCACGCAACAGACACAAAAAAGCCTCTGCTGTTTGCCCACTCAGTCTTCTGCAGGTGTAAGTTTTCTGTTATGTTTGCAAGTTTGAAATACTGATAATACAATCTATATCTACAGGACACTTTTTTTTTTAAAAGCACTTTTATATCCTCCTGCCTCGACTTCTGCAACTCAGTATATACCTGTATCAAAAATCCCTCCATCGCCTACAGACAAAATGCAACAACTCTGCTTTGAACAAGAATAAAAATGCCTGCATGCCTGTATTACCCATCTTTTAGCAGCTCTACACTGGCTGCCTGTTGGTTTTAGGATTCATTTTTAAATGATTTTAAACGCGTTTCAGGCACAGCATTGCCTGGCCCCTCTTTTCTGCGCTTTTGTCACCCTATGAGCAGTCTGAGAGCTTCTCCTCTTGCTCTGCTGGCTGTTTCAAGATCCACACTGAAAAACAATTACAGAGATTTTGCTGTCAGAGCCCCGACACTTTGGAGCAGCCAGTAAGAGGAGATCAGACTTCAGTCAGTCCCTCTGACTATTTCTCTACTTTTACAATATGTATTTTATGTATAGTATTTTTAAGTGTCTTGCTTGATTGCTTTTATAATCTGTTTGATTTTATTGTAAATATACTGAAATGCTAGTGGATGTTATTTTCTACAGATGTTCACAGCCCACAGGTGATGAATCGGTGAACCTTTGGTGTTTCCTATAGTGCCACCATTAAATTTACTTTTATTGTTGAAGAGAAATGTCTGAACATCTATTGGATAAATATCAGTGAAGTTGTGTACAGGCATCCATGTTCCCCAGAGAATTATTTATATGTTCTGAGATCCCTTGTTTATACTTTAGAACCATCTAAAGTTGAAATGTATTTCTTTCTAAACTTTGGTTTATGTCCAAATACTTGCCAAAGTAAGAGTCTACCACTATCCTCACCTACACTTTGTGATTCTATTAGGCAAATGAAGTGATAGAAATACCTGCTGCACATCAGATGTCAGCATTTAGCTTATGTGTTGAACAAATCCTACATATTATCACAAAACGTTATTTCTAAATGCCCCTTCGAACACCATGTTATGAAGGGTTTTCAAGTCACTAATGTGTTTAAATAATCAAGAAACTTTTTTTCAACTGATGACTATTTTCCTCTGTTGAAAGATCAGAAAGATTTATGCAATTGTTGAATTTGTTTTTATCATTTTGTTTTATGTATCATTTAATCAATTTATCATTTACTTCATACATTTACTTTTTCTTTTATTATCATTTAATTATTTTATCATTTAATTCATATGTCATATAGTCATAACTTTTTTTCTGCTTTTATATTTCCTGTCTAACTTACACATACTTGCGGTACCTACGCACCTGTGAGGTCAGGATAAGTGTGCCATACATTAAGCAAAACCACATATGAGCTCATAGGTGTATAGCGTTTCTGCGTATCTGCTCGTTCACGGTTTTCGAGCTGAAACCACATATGAACTTAGTCTCACCTGTGTTAGCACAAAAAATTCTGAAACTTTTTAAAATCATTTCTCTGACTGAAATCATTTACACCACAAAGACCGGAGTCTCCCTTAAGGACCCCGTGAACCTCGGAAGGTAAACTTGAGCAGTCACACCACGGCACACTTCTACTGACTTTTATTACACACTGCATACACACCTAACATCTTAGCGGGGGGGAGTTCACAGTTATTTCCCCTCCGGGGGGTAATCTAGAGTCCTATACCAGGGGTTATTCTTGAATCTAATTATTCTAGAAATGAATGTTAGGCAGATAATCCTAGGACTGTGATTATAACTTGTTCATCACTCCAAAGGGTGTTAGAGGAGTAATTTTACATAGCTCCTTCAACTAGGAAAGAGTTGACTAGCCGGTTGGTAGGGAGCGAGCTCTCATTTACTTCTAGTTCATTTAGTAGTCTAGTTAACTAATGGGTGGTGAGCTTCCGTTAGCTATAGTAAAGTTATTCACCTCTTTTTGCATGCTGGACATGCTAAACCTCTTTGAAGAAGATCAAATACCCTGTGGCTACTCGGACTCGACTGCATTTCTTCAGTGAGTATGGGTGCTCTTTTGGTCCACTTCATCAAAAAAAAAAAAAAAAACAGCACTTGATGCCTAAAGTTAAATTTATCACATATATAAGCATTTCTCTTTACTTACTGTGTTTATTGTGTATTCCTGTCAGTGAGGTGTGACTACATGCTACATCAAAGACAAAGTGAACGCTCACTCACCATGCTTGCAGATGCAGGATTTAAAGATAAAACATGACAAAAGAAGTGTTTGCTCGACTTTTATCTGTGATTCTTTTAGCCATCAAGGAGACAAATACTGAGGGCAGCAGACCAGAGCAAATTTAAGGCATATAATTAAATTCCATGAAGACCTTATTCTTCACCCAAATAGACTGTTGGCGAGACAATCACAGCAGCAGTTTGATGGCTCATTGTATTCAAACAGTAATTATGTCCTTAAAATACTGTATTTGTCTTTCAGCAAGAAACCCAGCCCTGTCTTTATTCTGCTCCTACATGCTCACTTACACCGCCTTGCTCACATTTGAAGATTTCTATCCCCGAAGAAATGTGTGGATGATTAAATTATTATCATCTTGACAACATGAAGTGTACAGCTGATCGTTATCAAATATGAATTGATCAGATTATCCTGAAGCAGCTGCTTTTTCCTAACATCCATACAGTGCATATAGGCTCATGCAGGTTTAGCAGTAACTTGCCTTATTGGTTTTTCAGTTTCGGTGTGTGGGTTGAAGTTCAGTTTTAGACAGACATGACTCAGTCTTTCAGCCTATTCAACTTCCAGACAGTCAATAAAATCACTCTACCAAAACTGCAAGGAAAACATGATGTGGTTCTTATTGTATAATTGAAATAAACACTCTAAATCACTATTAAAGATTCCATTTTGCACTATAAACTACAGCTGTGCAGTCATTCTTTATAATCAGATGATTCATTCTCATGTTTATTTTTGACATTCTAATTGAATCATGTGGTCCAATGAATAACAAGCAATTTCTGGATTTAAGTATAAAGGCTAGTAAAACCAGTTAATTTAGTTTGCTTTACATTTTTTAATTTAGCAATTTTCATGTAATTCATTTATTCAGTAGAAACGTAGGCTTATTGTAAAAACTGCTTTTTGAATTTACTTTTATTATGAATGTCAATGAGGATTCCACAGAAGTCCAACAGCCTTCATCTCTTAGTTACTTTAGCATAGCCTGCCACCTGCTGGCTGTTTGTAGCCAAGTTCATAGCCTAGGATGATTTTCTACCAAAACAAATATTTTTGCACCTCAACGACCCATATCTGCATCCAGAGGGGTGTTCAGCTTTAGTGGGTGAGTGATGCCCTGTGCTAGCCATTTTAATTTGCATTGCTAGAAGAGGCCTTTCCATTTGGGTTCTGAGCGGTTTGCTGTATTTTTATTTATTTATTTGTTAGGGACAGTGCATATTAATGAACAGCTTTAACACTTACAGCTGTAAAAATGCCAGATTATAGCAGAAGTGCTAGTTTCCATCTGTTGTCCCTAGGCAGGTAACAGAGAAAGACAAATTACAAATAAAATACAAAAACAATAATAAAGGTTAAAGGTGGTCACAGACTTGGTTTTCTTTAATCCACTGTTTGAGGTGTGTTTTGAAGGTTGCATATGTTTGTGAGTATAGGCTAGATACAATTATCGTGTTAGAAGCAGTGTTGGTTGGGTGATTTGAGTTGGAGATAGTTTGTAGCATGTGAAGAAGGTGAAACATAGCACAGAATGGTTAAAGTTTAGACCAAAGTTGAGCAATACAGGGCAACATAGAGTCGTTTTTGTCTGGGTTTTGTACCACAATGTCAACTTCACCACTAACGATGACGAGCAAAAACCCCAACACTACAAGGATTATCTACTTTATAAAATAGCCTAGTAGGTGAATTTAAGGGCTTCATTGTGGACCTTGGTATTTCTGAAGCTTGCAGCCACAACTTTCGCCCTTCACCTGTTGCTCATTTGTGAAAAATATTAATAGGCTAATGATGAAAAAAATATTTGTATGGCTTTGGAAACAGGCTATTGAAAACACATCAATCAATCCATCTTTATTTGTATAGTGACAATTCACAACAAATGTTATCTCAAGACACTTTAAAAGCAGGTTAAAGACCATATAAGCTACTCTATAGTAGCTTATGTTTCAAAGACAAAAACTTCCTTTAAGAGGCAGAAACCAAGAGCAAATTTAACTAGATGACCTTATGATGAACAGCGCCATCTGCCGAAACTGTGGTGGGCTTGGAAAGTGAACTAGAGGGGGAGATTGCAGTAAGGAGAGGGTTAAAATAGAATAGAATTACTTTATTGATCCCAAACTGGGAAATTGTGGCGTTACAGCAGCAGGTTGTCCAACACACAATATGAGTAAAAAACACAATGTTAGCAAATCTAAATATAATATAATATTAAATACAAAGTAAATAAGCACTAAAAATATCAAAACTAAGAATGTGAATATATACAACCAGGATTTAACTTAGCATTACTAGTCTTAAATAGGAAGATTAAAAATGGAAGATTAAATATAAATGTGCAAAAATAGAGTCGTAAATGGTAGTAAATTAAATATGAAAGATTAAATGCAAATGTAGAAAGACATGAGTTGTAAATGGACAGTACATAGAAGGGGGAAGGAGAAGAATGTAGCCAATTGTAAAATGTTTTAAAATGTGTTTTAAAAAATAAATAAAACTGTAACAGCAGAAAACTAGATTTGATGACGCTGTTTTGTCATTTTAACCTTTCATATCTGTTGTTTTGTTTTTAAGTGTCCTGTAGCATAATTGATATCGACGCCTGCTTTTTCAGCGCATGCGCAGTGCAGCCGGGGGAGAGACAGAATGTTCTCGGTCACGAAGGGAAGTCTCGCGTATATTAGACAGTCAGGCGCAACCTACTGCCGAGACGAGAGGGGAACCTACGGCCCTTCGGCTGAGCATATTTGGATTTTGGGCGACAGAAGCGTCGATTACTAAAATGACCAGTGGGTATCGACATATATTTTAGCTGTAAGGCATTCATGTACTTAACTCGATTGCATGGCCGTTGTTTTGACGCCTTTTAGCCTTGGCATCCGCCGACCCCGGGCTCCGTCTATGTGCTGAAAAAGACCTGCCGTAATGTTGTTTTTCTTACATAATACGTTCAAGGAGTGTCGTCTTGGGTTATGAGTCTCTGACACAATTGAATGTATTGTATCAGTGGGGTTGAATTGATTAGACTAGGAAACATCATTCGATATATATATAAATATATGAGATGTACGTTTTACCAACAACGATAGGCCAGTGTTGTCCAGATTTTAGTCGAAGCCCGTTCAGCAGAGGAATCACAACACTGATATCAGGGCATCAACATGTGTTACAAATGTTTTGTCAAAATCTTGTACTTGCTGTTTTATGCATTATACATGTTGTTCCTTTGTGGCTTGCCTTGAATAACCCAGAAGATAAGTGTGCTGCCCTCTGTGCTGTTGTTCTCTCTGTGCTCCATGGCGCCTCTCTGCCACGTCGGCTGTTGTCATCATCTGCTCCACATGTATTAATACTGCCTTACAGCCCTGTTTAACATTAAATACCTTATTTCACTTGTAAAAAATGATTAGTAGAGACTAAAATGTTTTTAGCTTTTGATGTATCGTTTTGAAGCATTATGTAAATATAACTGTTTTAAGGGTGTAGCTCACATACCTGAAGTATTGCTCAGTACAGTGTTGTTTGTTCTAATGCATTGTTTTCTTTCCCTGTTGTGTGACCTACAGGAGGAAACCAGCGTGAGCTTGCACGCGCCAAGAATGCCAAAAAACAGAATGATGGAGGGAAAGGGAAGAGAGGAGACGATGGGCTGTCTGCTGCTGCTCGGAAGCAGAGGTAGGCAGCAGATTGCATGATGGGACTGTAGAAAGTGGACGCAGACAAACTCAGGAAAGGGTTTGTTGTAGGAGTGGTTAATGTGTTTCAGAACTGGATGATCATGAAATCGTGGCTTATTTTGGTCATATAAAGACAATATTGTCAAACTATATTACTAACTATGTACCTGTACTGTAATCATCCTCATAATGTTTTCAATAACAAAGTCTTCAAGTATGTTTGAGTTAAGAGGCATATTGATGGGTGATCTTATATTGGCTCCACTGAGGTAGAGTATGTTCAACTTTTGTTTGTCGTCACACATTTTTTCTCATTTGTTTGTGCCTCTCTCTTCTAGGGATGCTGAGATAATGCAACAGAAGCAGAAGAAGTCGGATGGAGGGGGAAAGGGAGACACCAAGTCCAGTAAAGAATGATGTCCGAGACTCATTAAACTCAAGTGTTTCAAAAACAGCCCATGTTCAGCAGTTTTCCTGATATTTATGAGAATGGATCTGTCATTTTTGTCCAGACTCAAGAATCTAGGATCCTACTTTCTTCCCTATGGCAAATGACGTTTCTTCATGGATTTGTTATTTTACTTGGTAAAGTTATGTCTGAGCAAGTTAGTGGTGGTCACACGTTGGTGCTGCATGCAAAGGAGTATCAACGGTGTAAGCAGCAGGAAAAGAATGAACAATTTCCCGATACAAAAATCTGCGTAACAGTTGTGTATTTTTGTACAAAAATGTCCCCTGCTGGTTTCAAATAAAGTGTATCTTTTTAGTTCATGCTTGCCTGAGTCATTCTGAACGTTACTTTGAAACACATTTTGTTGAATATATCCACATAATCTGCATTTATTGAGGGAGAACTGGAAGGCAAGAGTTTGTTTTAATGGCTGATCCAAATAATTTTGCCCATCATATTTCTTCTACTTAGCCTTTGAAATACATCCTATAGGTTCTAAAACCAAAAGTATAATAATCCAGTGAAGGCAATAACATTATACTTTAATGCTAACTAACAGGATGAAACCATATTAACTTGTTGACACAAGAACAAACAGTTGAGTATTTATTATAGCCTTACTGAACAGACAGCTTGAATAATGATCTTTTATACTATGATGTTAAAAAACAAAGATATGCATTTATCCACTTAATATAGTGCTGCTAGAATGTCTGATCAAAATGTTCCTTCATGAAACTTCCAGGTTCTGTCAAATAGGTGTAATCATCGTCAGCTTTAAGCCTCACTTATATGATTAAAGATGCTCAATTCATCCCTTTTACAATCCAGTTTCAAGTCATATTAAGAAAGTAAACACACACGTCAGTTTGCTGGCTGCCACCTTTCAAAATATAACAAAAAACTGAGTTTTTAAATAATCGACAGGTGAATCTTGTTTTAGGCGGTTTTATGAATGTTTTTTTTTTGTCATTCTTTTTTTCCAGTGTCTAGTTGATAAATAGTTTTCTGAACTGCAAGCTATTCGGTTCCATTTCTGAAGATCTTTCTGCCTATAAGAGAAAACACTTAAATGTTATTTGGACAAGTTGTATTAAGTACAAAAAGCCTCATATTTTTGTCACATGATTCAGTGCTGCCCCCTGAATGGTCAATTTCTATTGATCGTGGTAGCACCATAGACAGCACAGAGGAGCTCTTTATAGAAATGTAACTTTTTCGTACATAGCATTAGAAATAACAACCTGCTCAAACCTTTGAATGAAGAAATGATACATCTGTGTTTTCTGTGTGTTGTGTGACACTGGGGTCTGCCAAGTTCTGTCATTAAACAAAGTATGCCAGTAGACAGAGAAATAATGCAGTCTCAATCTCACCACTAGGTGGAAGCAAACACAAAGCTATTATTTTACACTTGGATTTTAGTGGTGGACGTTGGGTTTGTCAGCTTGCTATGCTGTAGGTATATCATCTGTTCATGTGTTTTATTAGCTCTTTACTTATGGGGGTTCAAAAATAAACTTGGTTTTTTTTTTTCAAATAATGATAATGCTGGCTTTTTACCAAATGTGGTCATTCATGAGGCAAACATGCATAATGACTGTCCATGCAAGACATTTGTTCTGTAACTGTTGTATTTTAACATTACCACTTAAAGCATATTATATTCTTTACATCGGCCAGAAGCTTGTGAGCGACTTCACAGCCTATTTATAGTCAATAAGCTCTTTCTTCTTGCTGAAATCTAGTGAATATTTATCATCAGCTCTCAGATTACAGGGCGTATAATTAAGTTACCAGTTTAGCTTTTCCCCCCCATCTCAGATACAGGAGAAGCAGATGAAGAGCGGAATAGTGATGAGGAACAAATGCAGAGTCAGCAACATGCTTCAATTTGAGAAAACTCAAACCACATCCACTATCATCCACGCTACTCTGCTCGCAGCTTTGGTAAATCTCACTCAAATTCAAGCATAAGGCCCGGCAGACTGACTATGGGTTCTGGCAAGTTTTCTTTAAACAGAGCAGGAGTGAGGAGCTCAGTGGTAATAAGAGACGCGAAATGCAAAGAAAAGACGCAGTCGGCTCATCTAATTAAATTCAGAGCAGAGGCTTCATCTCTTTATGTCTTCTCTGCTGAATTTGTGGTGATAGGAGAGAATTGGGCGAAATGTATTGTCCTGTTAGAGCTGCTGCTGTGGTATTTAGGATGTTGAATAGGACAGTGTCAAAGTACAAATGGAAGAGAAAATAGACACAATGTACTGCATCTACTTTTAGCTTTTCATGTTTTAATTTTAGCCGTATGTTTCCTGCAGCAAAGGCGGCTGTAGTCATTTAATCGGCGTGAAGTCAAACCTCATTTCTACAGATGCATTTAAGAAACTCCCAGCTTTAGCTTGAAGCTTATAGCATTTGGAAAGGCTCAGTAACATTACATCTATATAGAGGGTTCAGTTTATTTCCAGAGGTTAGGCTGTGGCTCAGAGAATCTAGCTGATGAGGACACACAGGATTCAGAAAAAAAGATCTCAGGTCAAGCTTCATAATCTCGCTGGTCCCTCCACCATGCATCTCTTGACAGCACAGGAAATCTGGTTCAGAAAAATGACCCCTTAAATACAAGGTCAGAAGCAAACAGTGCTATGATGGTTGAACTCTGGAGCCCAGGTGCGAGTCTGTAATATCCCCTCTCCAACCTGCTGCATTTTAAAATCTCAATTATAACCATATTACTCAAATGTTTCTCATGTTTTATATATAGATAAAAAAGAGCCAAAGGTTATCAAGCAACATCATTTTACACTGACACAAAAATGGATTTACAAGATACAAGATTTTCTTTTGAAGCAATGTGTGATTATGACGCTCATCATGCGGTTGATAAATATAGACACAGACAGACAGGTACTCCTCATGTTTCATTATGCTGAGGGCGGAGACAGAACTGAGTTTACATAATGCTTCTGGAAAAAAGGACATATCTTTGCAATAACAATGATACTGACGGCCAATGATTAATAGATGTTTCAAATCATGTTTCTGTTTAACAGCCCACATAATGCCTTCACATAAACTGACCCTACAATGTACATTGTATACATGATGATGTGACAGGAGGTGCATACATCATCTACAAATACATCAGATTGGTGTCTCTGTCCTAACACATGTCAATCGATGTCGCTTAATGAGTCAGACTCAGAATCACACAACTACTTTAATGAGGTTGCAGGAGGACTTTTTATAAAACTATATAGACATTTCAAGTAGCAGAAGTAAGTAAGTGTTACAGCATGTTGCTTCTTCGCTGCTTTGTGTCCATTTAGAAACAGAGTAAATGTACTTCTGCTCTGCTGAACTCTTTTTTTTAATGGTATTGCACCTTTGACCACTGCACACTGACTGCTCAACATGGTGGCTATCAAGAATGTAAGCTTCTTTTAAGTACTTGTACATGTCTGGTCTTTTTCTGAACCAGCTGAGCTCATTTACAGCAACAGCAAAATGTGTGCACATGCTCATTAAAGTGTGAATATGGGGCAGAACAATGTGTGTACATGTTCACATGTACAGTGTTTATGTCTTTATGTTTACAGACAAAGTCATTGATCTTCAATATTTAGAGAAGAAAATCGATTGGCTGAGACAGTACAAACAAATTAAGGTACAGCTCAAAACACATATTACAAGCGTTAGTTATAACCCACACATTTGTGATATTCTGGTTTCACTTTCGTTGAATATACAATGACACAGGATGAGATTTTGGAGAATTTGATTTAATTTTGATAAGGATGGGGGGCTCCAAGGAAAAAAGGTCGGGAACCTGACTGCTCTAAGACAAGTTAAGCTACTTCTTTGCTGGTTGTAGCTTAATATTTACCAGACAGACATGAGGGTTGTATGAGTCATGAAGAAGTGAGAGAGCAGATATCTTTAAAAATATTATCATTATTTTCATTTTTTATTAACTATAAGATTAAGACTGAACCAAGCTAAATCAGATAATAGCAAGAACTAGTCAATTCCATTCCTGGATGACCTTCCTTTTAAATGGTGAGAGTTTGGGGCTATTACCAGATAAGTCAAAATGATCATCCATTAAACAGTATTAACCACCCAGTAAATACATTTCTAAAGACATGAGTTGGAGTGTGACCTTGGAGGTTGGGTCGGCACTGAATTAAAAGAGCTCCAGTTCCTCTCATTGACTGTGAAAAAGTAAATCTGCTTTTCAATTACACCATCAGCGAAGCGTTGCCATGAAATATGCAATGCAATCACAGCTGAAACGCACGCTGACTGTAATTGTTTTCAAGGCTGAGGCAAACAAAAGGCACTTTTCACAGCACAGTGATTTGTTAATAATGAACAGCAAATTACCATCTTTGCTCTTTATCAAATGGGCGGTGACAGCGGATGAGTGGCTGGTGTTGAAAGTTAATGAAATCTGTCACAGAGCATCAAAAGAGAGAGACGACATTGAGATATAGTTGATTTGGAGACACAGAAAGAGAGACAAACATAAGCTGAAAGTGTGAGAAAAAAAGGGTGAAAATGGAGGAAAGATGCTGTGGTAAGAGTCCTGTCACACCCGACTCTGCTTTTGTGACAATGTGCGGTCACTTAGTGAGGGAAGAGGCCGTTTATTCCTTCTTGCAGCTGCAGCTCTGTCAGCAGGTCTGTTAGGACATCAATAAGGTGAGTCTTATTCACGTCCTCTCCGGGCAGAGTTTCCTCTGCTTGCCTGCTTAAGGTTTGAGGCTCAACAAAACAATGACATTGATGTCAGTCTGTGCATGTTCATGATCAGAAATGCATCAAGTGAAATATGTTTTATATGTGTCCTGTTACAGTTACATAACCTACCTTATGGCCGTTAGTTGCCACCGCAACCAAAACAGCATTGCTGTAAATTTGAGTGTTGCTTACAATCGTAGGAATTTGAACCTGCTGTGAGGTTTGAAGCAGTTTTTTTTAACAGTGAAATGATAACCATTACATGCATTAAAAAAACTCTGCAACACAGCTTTTAGACTTCTTAATGACATATGAGTCACGCACGCTGAGTGTGACATCAGAGGTAATATGGTGTGTGAACATGGTGATAAACAAAGGTAACATCTACCTCACAGTTCATCTTTACTGTCCTTACATGTGTTAAGGATGTGTTGATGTTGGTTCAGCTTACGTACAAATATCTCATGACATCAAAAGAAATACATCTTATTGGTCTGCATATAAATATAAGTGACAGTGGCTCACTTTCATGAGCGCTAATTGTCGAGGCTAACGTTTCCATTAGTCATTTCCATTT